GTGCCATTGTGATTAGCCGTTGTTTGCATGGCAATGGAGGGTGGTGGTGGTGGTGGTGGTGGTGGTGATGATGGTGCTCTCCGCAGATATTACACTGTTAGTACCTTTTCAGGGTAGCCAGAGAAAAAGAATTGCCTTCCTTTAGTTCAGCTCACTTGGCCACTTCACACGCACAACGGCTGTTTTCAACGGTGCAACAGCGACAATCGATTCTAGAATACCAGCAACAGATAATGCTTATTAAGTAGATAGAAGAGAGAATAAGAAGGTAAATATTTACTCTCGTTTGACTGATGTATCAAAGCAGCAAACTAAATTACCGAAATGGCCATTTAGTTTTCCATCTTTCTCTGAAATTATATTAGCATTATTTGCTTGGAAAAAAGTTTTTTTTGCCTTGTGAGTTGCCCTACAAACAGACCTTCACTAGTAATTAACCCGATTCTAAATTGACAGAAAGAGTGCACTAACACAGCAATTGTTTCCTGAGTGATCTTTATCAGATCGCTACTACAACACAAGTTTCACTCCTATTTGTCGTTTGTTACTATCACTTCCCCTTTTTTTCAGTTTGACACTAGGCAAACAAGAGTGAAAAGAAAAGGCAATTACAATTTTATTGTTTTTGTTCATTTGAACTTTGAAACAATGTTTTCTTGTAGATTGCCATTAACACTAAGTGAAAGTGTCCAAACGAAAACAACCATTGCCTTTATTGTTGCATTCCACAAATATTCTTAGCAAAAAAGACAAAACAAAACACAGTGGACAAACATCCCACATAACTGTCAATTTACAGAAAAAAACTTTTAAGTTGCTGATTCCATTTCTAAAGCAAAACAAGTTAGCAACTGCCGTTGTGCAGAAAACAGAAGAACACCTGTTGATTTTGAGCACGCATCGCTCCATTTCACCATATCTGTCTTCCTTACTTCTTCTTTTACCACCACCCCAGCATTACATAATCGTGAGAATCTTTTCAATTTACAAGCAAGCAGCAATTAGTAGTGGATGCTCAAAAGGGCACATAAGGATACATAAATAGCAGCAGCATCTTCTTCCTTGCTTTCTTGTTTGTCTTGCCTAATGCCTAACTGCCTCAGCTGATGGTCAACTAGTCAGTTAGTCTAACTCCAAATGATCGCCTAATTGGACTCCTCTTCAATGCCATTCTTCTGCATCTTCTCTGACACTGACTGCATTGTCTAAACAACGGTTTGTGACCGTGTGCTGGCTTGTTTTTGTGCCATTTGCATGTCATCCTTCCCATCCTTCCCCATCTCCTCCTCCTCATTTTCAACAAAACGGTTTGCAATTGGTGCAATTGTCTTGCAACAAACAGAGCCTCTTTTTTTGCTCTTCCAATCACCGGTCAGGACACAAACATGGCAGTGCATTAATGGTATTGCTCAATGTCCTCAACATGGACTTTTTTCATTTCTCTCAAAATGGGCACTCATCGATTGGCAAAATCCGCCAACTCGCGGTGGCTAATTACTTTCTCCTCTCTTGAGTTTGCTAGCCAAATCAACCAATCAGCCGCAGTACACATGTCACCACTGATTGATCATCATCATTATCATCACCATCATTATTATTAAATACTACTAATACTAAAACATGGTATTACCATGTCGCCTCTTGCCAGTTCTGACAGCAGAAGTAAGAGAAGTGGCAGCTTAGAAAGTCGCCGAAGAAAGGTCACCCGGTGACCGAGTGAAGCACTCGCACTGAACCGCTATGTTGCCCCTTTATTTCTCTCTGTAGCAGCAGTAGACATGTGTCATTTTCAATCTGCTACATTGGTATCGTCCATCGCGCCACTGGCCAGCCGCTGATGCAGTGATAACCAAACAGCTGATGCATCAGCAGCAACATTTCAGTTGCGAAAACTGAGTTATAAAGTTTATGCGATTTCTCGGTTGGCTTGCAAAGATGCAGATCACACAAGTGTGCACCAGTGTGCAACTAATACTACGACTACCAATGCTAATACACACAGATTAAGCGAGGGGATTTGTCCGCACGGGATCTCCGCGGGCTGACCGTTTAGTCCTTCACTCACTCACTCTCTCCCCTTTCAGCACTTGAGATGTGGCGGCGATGGCTGCTGACAAAGTCGGTGTACTTTTGATGGTGAAAAAAGCCACTAAAGTCGGCGTTTCTGGGCTGCTTCTGTTGCTGGTGATTTCTTTTTCTAATGCTGGTGGTGCTCAGATGCACTTTTATTTTATTTTATTGTCGCCGCGCTATTTTTACGGGCATCTACTCGACGAGCATTGGCGGCGACTGCATCTCTTTCTCGAGCTGCTGCTGCCATGGTTGTCTAATGGTGTGTGTGTGTGCTGAAGTAATGTAATGTATGTAAATCTCTAATGTATGGATGTGGGACATGGTGGAAAGTGGTGGTGGTGGTAGAAAAGAAAGCACAGCTTGCAAACTGCTGTTCTTGTCATCTTAGCACCGTTTCTTCTGCTGTCCCCCATTGTCCCTTGCAGTATTAGGAATTCATGGCATGCCTAGTAGCAGCAGCAGCTGTACACTGAGCATCAGCAAGTCGGCACTGTCACTTTCAATCCTCAGCAAGCCCAGGGATTTATTGCAGCCTCTATCCGCTCTCACAACAGCATCATCATCGTTGTCTCAGTGTGTGCCAACCAAATCATCATCATCATCATCCTCTCCACCCCAATCCATCTCGTGCTGTCATTCTCATTCTCTTTTCTCTTTATTTTTTCTTCCCACCAGGCTACACTTCATCGTCCCTGGAGGTGACCACCATCAGTCAGGCGCAGTTCACGCCACTGGCCGAGGCGCTGCACCGGGTGGTCGACGAGCTGAATCACTCGCTGAACGTCGAGGCGACCTTTGAGGCGGTGGTGCGACAGCTGAAACGGGAGTTCCCCGGCATGGAGCTGCCCTCTGATGAGCTGCTGCGTGGATCGCTCTCCGGTCTGGTGGCAGAGCACAAGCTCGCCTTTGACGCCTCTCGGGGGCTGTACTCGGCTACGAGGCCGCTGCTCACGCCTCACTGGGATGAACTGGAGCAGCTGACGCTGATAACTAGTTCGGAAGGCAACCACCACCACCACTTTAAAGGAGGCCCAGAAGAGGAGATTGAGATTGAGCTTAAGAGTGGAGGGAATGGCGGTGAAGCAGCAGCTGAAAACCTGGTCAACCGATGTGCCACCAGCACTACGATGGAGGCCACCTCCGAGTACTTCCACCACTTGAAGAGCACTGGGAACAGCAGCAAAAGCGCCACCCTTTCTAGTGCGGGCAACTCGAGCGATGGAACGCCGCTGGAGCAGTATATACGACTGGAAAATGGTGATCAGAAGGACGACGGCGGAAATAAACTCTATCGACGGAGCTCTATTTCACTGTCAAACAATGACATTGGACAACAACAGGCAGACTCGAATAGCAATTTTGAGCTTAGCAAAAAGGGAGCAACAAACTTCAAACGCAGCAAGTCGCTGAGAATAACGAGCAAACGTTCAACACTTGAGAACGGCGGACAACAACAGCAACAACTGCCAAAAGACTGTACCTGCAGCAGTGAGATCATCATAAAAAGTATGTAACGACCAAGTTTCAAGTGCGGAAAGACAGACAGCGATGACAGAAACTGTCTTTCGAAAGACACAGGCCACCTTATTCTTTACTAAACTAACACCTTTTCTCGTTATTCCATTTTCCACTTTTATTGCAGGGCAATCTCTTTTTAGCAAGATACTAAAGTTTGGGCAGAACAGCAGCAATGGCAGTGGCAATCACCTCAAATCACGCTCTTCCTCGGCCTGTAGCGTGAAGTCGACCCATTTTGGATCTCAGTTCCCCGAAGTGACGACGACCACTGAAATGCTGAACGACACTGAACAACAACAGGAGACGATGACGACGAAAACTGTAGAGCTGACCTCAGTGGCCACACAGACGGTCAAATGCGGCTCAGAAGACATGGTGACGCTGATTTTGAAGCAGGCTGGAAGACATGCTCTTGCCAGAAGTAGATCTTGTGGTGGTGGTGGTCAGAGGTCAGTGGAACGGTATGCAAATGAAAACCGCTGCGTGTGCTCGGCAAAACATCACCACAACAACTACCGAGAATCATCTCGCAATGGCCGGCGAAGTAATGGCAGCAATCGAGGCTACCACACCAAGTACTACTTCATTGGGGAGAATGAAAACAGCACTACACAAACAACAGAGCTGACTGAGATGTCACTAAAATGCCAGTGCAATCTAGCCGAGCATCTGTCATTTGCCGATTCGATCGTTTCAAACGGTAGCTACCATGGTCGTCACAATCATCATCACCAGCAGCAGAATCACAACCACAATCACCAGCGCAGTCATCANGCCGAGCATCTGTCATTTGCCGATTCGATCGTTTCAAACGGTAGCTACCATGGTCGTCACAATCATCATCACCAGCAGCAGAATCACAACCACAATCACCAGCGCAGTCATCACCGTAAGCTTCGCAGTGCATCACTTCGAGCATCACAGCAACATCAACACTACCAGCAGCACTATCGACCGAACGAGTGGCTGATTGATTACAACTCGGGTAATGGAAACAACGGCAACAACAACCACAATCACAGCCACCAGAACAATACGACACGCAAGGGCGTCGAGAGGACAAGGGCGCAACGGCAGATGCAGCTTAGAAATGGACATCGAGGCCAACGGTACTACTCAAGTCAGCAGTCTGAGGATGAGGACGAGGATGAAGAGGAGGAAGAAGAGGATGAGGTGGAACATCGTAAGCAGCAGCAGCATCACAACGGTGACAGCAGCCATTCTCAGACGGTGCACTACCCCAAGATTAATGGTCACTGGATGACGACTGACAACGGTGGTCAGCTGCAGCAGCAGCAGCAATACTGGCCGCTGACAAACGATGGCGAAGAGAGGCACAACAGCAGCCATCGAAACGGAGGCAAAAGCAACACCACGACAACGAACCTGCTGATTAACAATTCACTAAACCTCAAGATAGAGATTGAAACTTCATCCAGTCGAATGCCACAGCAGCAGCAGCCGTCGTCGACGGTGTCCAACGGTGCAGGCGCTCACCCCCAAAACCATCACCATCTGCAGCAGCAGCAGCATTTATCATCTTCTGAAAGCAGTAGTCAGCAGGCATCGGCAGCAGCAGTCACCTTCTCCAGGCAACTTCTTCAGCAGGCAAAGATACTTGAACAGAGCGGCACCTCTGGTCACTACAACGGTCAACAACAACAACAATTACAACATTTGCAGCAAAATCAGCACCAGCAGCAACAGCCATATCACCACCAGTTCGCCAATGACATTTACAGTGAGCTCACCTTTGACCGACACACCCACCGACTGAGTCAGATTCAGAGTGTGCAGGGGAAGCAGAGGCAAAGCCTGGCAGCAGCACCAACACCACCAAACCATCAGTTCCGACCGTTACCAGTGCCACCCTCACTGCCAACATCGCCTCCTCCTCCTTTCTCAGCTTCTCTGGACTACACTAATGGCAGCAGCGGCTACAACTCCGACCTCAACTACAGCAACTCCATCACTGCGCTGAAGGAGCAGATTGCACGAGCAAAGGCCAACTTCTTCAGTGTGCCACCATTGCCTTCGAATGGCACATTGGCTAACTCTGCTGCCACCACCACGACGTCCACTCGATGATCACCTAAAGAAGCGGGCAAAAAGAGAGGGGAAAAAGAACTGGTGTAATTAATTGCCATCTTTCTCTGTCTCTTTATTTATAGCCCACCAGCATCTAGTGCAATTACGACAATTCAGCAGCCACAATGAAAAGCAGCAGCAAACGTGCACACTGATAAGAATCGATCACCTGTACTAGCACCTCATTACCCCCTTCTGATCATGGTCAGCAGCCACTTTTGTCGAACTGACCGACTGACACTTCACAGTTGACGAACAAAGTGGCAATCTCGAGTAGCTAAAGAGCGAACAGGCACACAAGCAGACACACACAATACGACTCTTGATTTGCCACTCGATGCTCGATAAACGAGAGAAAAGAGAGGCTCCCACAGGCAAACCGTTTGCCCTTTCAGATTTGAGTTGAGTTGAGTTGATGAATTATGGCGGTGCGCTGAAGTGAACAGCAAAAAAGGTTTTCGCTTCTCACCTCTCTTTGGCGTACTTGAGTTGTACTTTCTGCTAACCACCACTACCACCAACACCGTTTCTACTTCTTCTTCAGCATCGCCGTTTTTGTTCTATATTTAAATGGTGGCCAACAATTGACCACCTCTCTCTCTTTTTCTCTTTCTCTCTTTCGCAGTCAGCCGCTCCTTCAATGGAAGTGAAAATGACCAGAGACAGAAGCGACTTCTTAGCCGCCTTCCTTCCTTCAGTCCATTTCCAAGTCACTTTTCACTTTGCCCTCTCTCTTTTTATTTTGCTGTAGCCATTAGCACATGCCACCAACCAGTTGCCATACCTCACCTCTTATTGAGCAACACCTTTTCTTTCCTTTTCCCTTTCTGTGCCTTTCAAATGGATGATCTCAAATCGTGGTGGTGGTGGTGGTGGTGTCTCAGATCGAACGAGAAAACTTTCACGCGGAAATGCCTTGCCTTTGCCTTCACTTCTGGTGAGGTGATGCCAATCACAATTCAAAGCAGGACATCTCACTCACTTACTTTCCCTTCGTGCCGACCATTGTCGATTGTGTCATTGTACCATCAGTCCAGTACTTCTGTCTCTCTCCAATCTAATCACTTCTTTAGTCGAATAATATACACAATCTCTCTCTTTCCCTTCTTTCTTTTGTCTAATTGACGACTACCATTAATAAAACAACAAAATCACTTAATAAAACGGCGAAGGTTTATTAGTCATTCAAGGTGTAACATTGTTTTGTTTCTTTAACCTGAAATAGAAGCTGGCTGGAAGAGCGAAAAAGGTAGGGAGAGAAAGTAGAGTAGAGAGTACTGATAACAGAAGCGGATTGAGAAAACAAGAGAGAGAGAGAGAGATTAAAACGGTGTGGCGAGAAACGGAGAAGAATGAGAGAAAGAGAGAGGTTGATTGGCTGATTTGCACACTAGGACGATCACTCTAGGACGGCACAGTTGGTTTCACTGGTAGCAGGTTGACGAACTTCGAAAATTCCCTCCCTCGCCAGTCCCTCTCTTCACATGTGGAGGTCCTTCATGAGGGAGTTCTCCTTGAGTCGTGCCTTGCGCTTGCTGATGCGGTTCTTCTCCAGCCGCCGCTGCCGCTCGTCGTCCGTCTCCACCGCCCGGCGCTTCTGAATGCGAACGCGGTCCTTTTCCAGTCGCCGTTGTCGCTGTTCGTGGCTTTCATTCTGGCGAGCGCGCTTCTTCCGAATGCGGTCCTTCTTCAGCCTCTCCACCCGCTGGTCGTCCGACTCCCGCAGCCTGGCCATCTTCTTCCGAAAGATGTCCTTCTGCAGGCGTTCAGTGCGCTTTATCTCCGTTTCCGGGGATCCGGAACCTGCTGAGACGCCGCTGCCGTCACCCCCATCACCACCACCACCGTTAACACCGTTCAGCTTTTGGAAGATGCTATCATGCTCTAGCTTGATGGCAGTGTGGACATCCTCGTGTAGAATGTACTCCGCCTTGATGACTGCCTCTCCGTTGAAGAGATGATGGTGGTGGTGGTTGTGGTGGTGGTTGTGGTGATGATGGTGATGCTCCACCTGCTTCTCGTCAACGTTCAGAATGGGCGTGAGGATGTTGATCATTTCGCCAAGACCGTTCTGCTCTGTGGCGACTCCCACAACGCCGTTCGTTTCCCCATGCTGTGAGGAGGAGGAGGAGGAGATCTGCACCTCGTGGGTGACGGGCAGGCTGATGGCAGGCACACAGTGGTAAAGGTAACCGTCCTGGCCCTGGATTTTCGTTGCCATGCTCATGCTCTCAGGCCGAGTAGCCCACCGATGGTGTCGTCGTTGTTTAGTTGGTAAAGATGGAGGTGGTGATGTTCAGAGGAAGAAAGTCCAATGACTGGGAGAAGTGTCCCGCTAGTGTCAGCTATCTCATCACTGCAAAAGGGCAAAAGAATTCACTTAGCTTACAGCAGCGTTGTACGGTGGCAACCTCCAAAGCACGTTGCTGTAGTAGCACTCACCTTGATGGCAGCGAGCACGGCGCTACTGGCACAAACTGCTCGAGGCTGACAGTGACAGCGGTCAGCGGACAGCGGGCGGAAGTGAGCAGTGAGCTTGTGCTGGTTCGGGTGCGCTTTCTGCTGGTGCTGGTGCTGGTGGTGGAACGCGTGCTTTGAAGAAGCTGAAGAAGCGATCGTTGTACGGTATTGTTGTTTGTTTCGGCCGCAAGGAGCACACGCTGAGCACTCGATGGCCACCTGGTGACTGGGCGATGCAACCCTCACTGAAGCGACCGCCCACCGCCGCAGCCGCTGCACAACTGAATCACAACAATCACAACTGTTCGGGGTCTGGTACATCTGGCTGACAACTTCTTCTTGAAACTCAAGTTCTATTTGAAGATGGTCGAGTTGAGCCGTCTTCGAGGTTGGATCGCCGATCTTGCCCGTCAGTCTGAAGGTCGACTGCAGCAGTGTCGACGACAGCTGTTGGGTACCATCAATGGCGGCAACAGCACAACCATCACCATCAGTCCACTGCCACTGACTGGCTGTGTGAGCTATGCGGCCTTTAACCTTCACATTGCCACCAGTGGACTGCCTGGGTAGGTGTTTTTGATAGTAAAGTGCTTTAAAGGAGTTCACTAAGCAACGTCCATTTTCCCACTTTTTAGATGCGGACCTACGCTGGCACGAGCTCTGCTGCTCACTTCTCACCTCGGCATCGGCCACCACCTGTACAATGATCGAACTCGGTGGTCGGTCCTCCCGGGCCGGCACCGCCTTCTGCAGACCGCCTACATTACGGTGCTCTTCAATCTCGGCTCGATCCTCTTCATTGCCATTACCAAGAGCTACATGCCCAGGCTGCAGCTGCTCAGAGGGGCATACGCACTGGCAGCCTCAGCTGCTCTGCTCTACCTTGGGCTGGACTTTCTTCATACCAAGGGAGAACAACAGCAGCAGGATCCGCCAAATGCAGTGTAACTCTCTTTGGCTATTTATTCTTTTTATTATCACCTTTTATACCTCCACTGTCACCACCACCGCCACTGTTATGTGCTGCAGCTTTCCCCCTCATCTTCAACGGTCCCTGCTGATGGCCAAGCAGCTCGTTCAGCTCATTTTCACTGTACTGCTTCACCAGCAGCACGGCACAGCGCTTCGGAAACCAGCCCTTGCGTCGCCTCGCCGGGTCCTTGCTGAGTCGCTGTCCGTACAACCACTGCCGATGACAGTGCGTCACCAGTACCTCGTCGCCCACTTCCAGCGCCATCCGGGGATCGTCGTTGATGGGAAATGTAATGCACACTCGGCAGCCCTGTGAGAAGAGTGGAAAGAAGCGGCCATTGTACGGTTCCACTACTCGACACAATGAAGAGTTTTCTAGTTTTTCACGCTTCTGTAGAATTTGTTCATACTAGAGTGTTCAAATAAAAGAAAAATCAATGCTCATTATTAGGTTTCTGTTTTCATGATATTCAGTGCTTACTGTTAGTGTGAACTGATCGCATCCTTCGATGACTGGCCAGGAGATGCCATCCGTCGCCGGATCAAAGAGCACTTGGCGGATGTTCTTGAAGAAGCCCAGGTTGTACGGGTAGACGAAGGGACTGTCACGTTTTCTCATGTTCGCCTTGGCTATAATCCATTCTTCAATGGATGTCTTATTCCTTATCAGAATTTTTGTCTGCCGAGAATGTTCCCATCAGTTTAATTTGATAAACAACTGTCAAGAAAACATTCATACCTGAATGAAGAGCAGTGCACCGACGGCGACGACTACTCCTAGGCACATTCCAACTGAAATCAACATGATAAACAGCCCTTCAGCTGAGAGGTAGATGTACCGGCGGTTCGCATTCTATCAAGCAGAGCGATATGAAAAAACAAAAATTAAACTTGGAAAGAGCACACAAAATGACAGTGCATCATTCCTACCGGTATGTAGTAGAGCGCCCTGTAGAGGGAGATGCAGAGCAGGGCGGAGGAGTGCACCGAACCGATGACGGCGGAGAGGAGAAAGTAGAAGAAGTGCCGCTGGTTGGCGAAGCCGACGCAGTTGTTGATCCACGGACAGTGGTGGTCCATCTTGAAGCAGCATCGATTGCACTTGGAGCAGTGGTGGCTGCGAGGCGCCTTGAAGCCCTCACAGGTGTGGCAGTACTGCAGGTACTGCTCGTCCTCCGCCCTCTTCGGCCGCCATCCTCTGGGCACGTGGCCCGGGCCGTTGAAGACGGCGGCGAAGAAGTTGAAGAAGGTGGTGACGATGAGGCCGCAGTAGAAGCACAGGTTGAGCAGATAGCTCCACCGCCACAGGGGCACCGACCACTGGACGAGGTAGTACAGCGTCGTCAGGGAGACGCACTTGATGATGAGGATCGCCACCAAGGGGCCCCAGTGCAGCAGCCGGCCGACTGCCATTCGGGTGACCGTGAAAGGTGGTGGGCGTGGAAGGCGGGAGGAAGGTGGAAGACCAGTTAACCCAAAGTTCCCTTTTTCGAAGTCGTCAGTGGTGCCGGTGTGGGTGAAGTAGCCGCCTACACCTCTCTTCTCGCTACACTTCCAAAGTGGTTGGAGCCTGCGTCGCGCACCACCTGCTGACCGAGTTAACTGTTGGCAAGCCTACTGGCTCCGCCTTCATCGACAGTTGCTGTTTGCCTTATTGTTGTTTACACTTTTGCTGCAGCTGCTGCGGAGAAATCGTTGAAGACAATCATCATCATCAATTATCATCACCACCTCTCCTCAACTGAAAAGTGACCTGGTCCTCCTAGCCACCAACGACTTGATGGCGTCAGAAGGTGACGGAAAAGAAGGTAAGCAGTCTCTTATTTAGAAGTAAGTGCTTCACTTTCAACTATTTGCATTTTTGCAGAGAAAAAACTCAACTGCCAGATTGGAAGTCTCTTCTCGCAGCTGGAGGAGGAAGTGCAAATAACTACTGCCGCCAAGGAGAACAGTAAAAGTAATCGGCCGATTGTGCTCTTATCAGTGCACATTCTTTTTCTCCATTGTACTAACTGCTCCCCCATTCTTCTCTAGAAGTGTCCAAAGACTGCCTAGAGTCGCTTCGCCAAGTGGCGGATCATCTGAAAGACGACGAGTGGATATATCCGTCGGTTAATAAACTGCTCGGATTGCAGTAGCTCTCAAGGTCACTCAAATTGCACTAACAACAACAGCAGCTACATTCAAAGAATCTCTTCACGATGAGCGAAATCATTCTCAGCTATCACGATTCTCTCCTTCGCAAGTCCGACTGCAAACTGCTGCGTGGCAATCAGTGGATCAACGACAATATAATTGAGTTTTACTTTGAGTACCTCTCCAATGACCTGTTCAAGGGCAAGAACCTGTTGGCCATCGGTCCGTCTTTTGCGCAGCTGATAAAGCTGACCGACAGCGCCGAGGAGATGAAGGAGCTGCTAATGCCGCTTGAGATCGAGAAGAAGGACCTGGTGCTCATTCCCATCAACAACCACGAAGATTCGACGGAGGCGGGCGGCAGTCACTGGTCGCTGTTGGTTCTCTACGTTGGCAGTCTCAAGTTTGAACATTACGATTCTCTGATGCACAGCAGCAATGTGTGTCACGCCAAGCAGATAGCGGCCAAGCTAAATCGGCTGTTACGTGGAGACACACTGGACTTGGTTATCATGACTTGCAATCAGCAGATAGACGGCTACAACTGCGGCATTCATGTCATATGCAATGCCAGGGCAGTCTGCAAGAAGCACTTTCTCCACGATACACGTCATGTACGAGATATCGCCACTGAGAAGGCCGTCAGAGGCTGCCGCGACCAGCTGCTCCTCCTGATCGAACGGCTCAGGGAGGAAGCCACAGCAGCAGCGGGAGAACTTCACCAATCCTAGCACCACCTGATTTGATTTGAAGCTGACTAATCGGCCGATGTGTGATAAATAATCAGTACAAAAATTAAACAATAAAAGCAGTCAATTTTCCGAATCAATCTTTTCCGAATCAGTTCAAAAAGTGAAGGGGGCGGGCAAGCCAGTCGGCTGACTTGGCTTGTTCAATTCTCTCACAGATGACGTTACTCGCGTGCTTTTCTCGCCTGTACTCGCTTTGACTTTGTAAAAGTTTTTGCTCACAGCAGCTCTCGTCAGTGTTGGTCGCACGCCGCAGCAAAATCTCTTGCCTCTTGTCTCGAAGCTCGTCTTCTTTCTCCATTTTACTCTCCACCTTACCGCCTACCTAAACCCATTATTTGCACACAATGGCACCGCCTACCTACGGAGATTTAGGAAAGCAGGCCCGAGACATCTTCTCGAAGAACTACCGTAAGTGGCGAAGACGCCATCACCATAAGTCTTTAGTTGTAGACAGTGTTGAGCTTGATGATGATGACGCCCGATACAATGCTTCCCTTTTCTCACCTGAGTTCTCTTTCTCACTTCGCTTCAACCCGACGCTTTCGCCCACTACCCGCGCCCGTATCACTGCCACCCGAAACACATTAGACGTTGGCGCTGTCAAGCTCGACTTGAAGACCAAAACGTCGAGCAATGTGGAGTTTGCCGTTGCCGGCACCTCCATCAACGACACCGGTCGTGTGAACGCTTCCTTCGAGACTAAGTACCTCTTCAAGGACTGGGGCTGCACGCTGAAGGAGAAGTGGACCACGGACAACACCATCCTCACTGAGGTCTCCTTCCAGGACCAGCTGGTGAAGGGCTCGAAAATCCTCGTGAACGCCAACATCGCTCCCCAGTCCGGCAAGAAGACTGGCGCCGTCAAGACCTCGCTCAAGGGCGAGTGCTTCAACACCAACGTCGACTTTGACTTTGACTCTCTCAACAACGGAACTGTTATCAACGGCTCGCTTGTGCTGGGGTGAGTACAGCTGTTCCGAAGAACGGCAGCTTCCCTCTCTTTCTCTTTCTGTCATGTGCTTCCCAACCGAAATCTTAACCATATGACTTGTGTTTTTTCTCCGCCTTTTCTCTGTGTGCGTGCGTGCCTGCAGTCATCAAGGTTGGCTCGCTGGTGCCAATCTTTCGTTCAACCCGCAGCAGGGCAAGCTGAACAAGACCAACTTTGCTCTTGGCTATCAAGATAAGGACATCCAAGTGCACACTAATGTGTGAGTATTAGCACCTTGCTTGCGCTGACGTTGCATCAGGCCACTGCTAACCACCACTGTATATCAATTCACAGGAGCGACGGCAAGGAGTTCCTCGGCTCGCTGTACCAGAAGATTAACAAGAATCTGGATGGCGCCATCAGTGTCTCCTGCACTACCGGCAACAGCACTCCCATCTTTAGCCTGGGCGGCCTCTACCGAATGGACGAGGAGACACAGATCAAGGTGAGCACGGGTTGCAATCTCTTTCTGCTTATCACCTTTTTTACGCCCACCTTTTCCTTATCACACCGTTTTATTTCTTTTACTACTCGTAGGCTCGCATCAACAACAAGAACATGATTGGCCTTGCCTTTGTACGCACACTTCGCCCTGGCATTGCCTTCACCCTCAATGCAATTATTGACGGCAAGAACTTCAACCAAGGTGGCCACAAGCTGGGCATGGGCATTGACCTTGAGGCTTAATTTGGCCACGGTCACCACTGTTTTTCCTCCTTTGTTGTGTAACCCTGCCGGCAGCCGATGAAGCAGAACCCCATAAAGAACAGATTTTTCTTTTCAGAGTAAAACATTACATTTACATTGAAGCAACCTCGAAATTATTAGAACGAAGTGTAGAAACATGTGTGTAGAAGGGTAGACAAAGTTTTTATTTCCCATAAATTGGTCCATTGAGATAAATATTAAAGGAAGTCTTGGTCATTATTTTATGATTATTAAAATAGGAAAGAATAAAAGCGATACGAATTTCTTTACGAGTTGTTGGTCAAGCTCTGGTGGTGGTGGTTGTGATGATTAAGGTAATCTTACTCCGAGGTGAAGGAGGAATCCTCGTCGGAAAGTGAATCCGAACTGGCGCACTCGAAACTGAGCGAATCGGAGCTGTACAGCGCCCGCTCCTCTTCCCCTTCCGAGGAGGTCTGAGATTCGGCACGCTTCAGCTGTCGGGCAGGATCAGTGATGACGGAGGTGACCTCTTGGAGGATGGCCTCCAGCGTGGCCACAAAGTGGCGGACATTGTCCTCGCTGAAAACCATGGGTGGCTTGAACTTGAGGACATTGCCGTGGCGGCCCTCGGTGCTCATCAGAATGTGGCTCTCGCGAAACTTGGCGACGACGTACTCTGCGAGCAGCGTCGCCGGCTCCTTCGTCCGCCGGTCGGTGACCAGCTCGACGCCGATGAAGAGGCCAGTGCCGCGAACGTCGCCCATCACGGCGAACTTTTCTTTCAGCGCCTGCAGCGACTCGAGCATGAGGGCGCCGGTGTGGAGGGCGTGCTCCTGCAGGCGCTCACCCTCGATGACGTCTAAGACGGCGTTGGCCACCGCCAGCGAGACAGGGTTGCCGCCGTACTACAACAACAGAAGAATATGTTAGTGAACCAAATAGAACAACCCGTTCAACTCAACCCTACCGTGTTAAAGTACTCTGTGCCAATCTGCTCAAAGCTGCGGGCAATGGCGGGCGTGGTGACCACCGCAGCCACTGGATGGCCGTTGCCCATCGGCTTGCCAATAGTGACAATGTCCGGAACGACGTCCTGCGTCTGGAAGGCCCAGAAGTGCGTGCCCACTCGACCAAAGCCGACCTGGACCTCGTCGGCGATGCACACGCCGCCCGCCTCCCTCACGTACTTGTACACTTCTTTCAGGTAGTTCTTCGGCAGGAGCACCTGTCCGCCGCAGCTGACCATCGACTCGCCGATGAAAGCGGCCACGGAGCGACCGGAACCCTTCGCCTCCTTGATCAGCTTCTGCACCTCGTCGGCGTAAAGCTGGCCAATCGCCTCCTCGCCGTACTCATCGGCGGGGAACTTGCCACGGTAGGCGCACGGAAGTGGAGCCTGAACAGGTTTGGTGGTGGTGATGGTGGTGGTTGGTTGGTTTAGGGAACACTACCCAATGTGAGCCTGGGACTTACCACGTGCACCCACTTCTTCTTCTTGCCGCCGTTCATCTTTCGAAACTTGTACGAGCTGATGTCGATCATGCTGGTCAGGTGGCCGTGGTAGGCGCCGTCAATGGAGATGACGTCCTTCTGGCCGGTGTGGCAGCGGGCCAGGCGCAGCGCCAGGTCGTTGGCCTCCGATCTGCAGAAAATGGGAGGAAAGTAGATAGTAAAAAGGAGTTTGCAAACTTTTGAGTTCTTCTCTTACCCCGAGTTGACAAAGTAGCAAACGGAGAGCTCCGGGGGAAAGTAGTCGGTGAGGCGCTTCGCGTAGACCACCAGATTGTCGTGCAGGTAGCGACTGTTGGTGTAGATGCGGCTCATCTGCTCAGCAGCGGCCGTCACCACCTGAGGGTGACAGTGGCCGACGTGGGCGACATTGTTGATGCAGTCGAGGAACTGCTCGCCCTTCTCGCTGTACATGTACTGGCCCTGGCCGCGCACGATCTTCAGCGGGTTCTTCTTGAAGAAGAGAGTCACTGAGCCGCTGCATAGAAGAAAGATGCAAAATTAGCATATTGACTATTAGCAGATTTATCTAAACCACTACCACTTACCCAATGTGCTTCTTTCGCAGCTTCATCGTCTCCGACTTGGGTATCGTCTCCAGGTTTGAAGAGAGCCCGGGAGTTTTCTTTTCACTGATGGAGGCCATTTTGATTGTGGAATGTGGTGTTTTTGGTGGTAATGAAAGTGATGAGAGGATTTAGAGTTATGTTACAAAATAATAAAAAGTTAGTAGGTGAGGGGAAGGAGGTGATGAAAGGGGAAAAGTGTTTGTCAGTGATTGCTTAACGCCATTTGCAATAGTAGTCTTTGGGGTTGGTGGTGGTAGTGGTCAGTTTGCCCAACTGAGCTAGTCTGTGAGACTGATGATCTTCACCACTGAAGAATCGCGCCTATTTATGTGTCTCATCGAGGAGTACGGTTCTTCTGAAGTTGCGGCTGCAGCTGATGGACACACCTCCCATTCTTCGGCTGGGCTGCTGCTGCTGTAGTCTGTGATCTTATCAGCAGACAGACTGTGTGTGTCTGCAGACACTGAGATAGTGCCGTAGGGTGAAAAGGAGAGAAAGAGAAAGAGAGAGGGGCACAACTGTCTCAGCATGAGCAGCAGTGGCAGAGGTAGTCTCTATCTGCAGCAGCTTTCTCTTCGAGACTGGCCCTGGGGAGTGGAAAGTGAGTGAGTGAGTGTATGAGCGCCGCCGCTGACAGCCTTTATCAGCGGTGACTGGTGGTGACTGCACTGCTCCCCGATAATATGGGTCATTATTGAACAGAGAGAGGGAAAGGAAAGAGATTGATTGGAACTCGAGCCCGCTGTTGATGACTGGCTGGCTGAACCTCAGCTGGAAGGAGCCCCAAAGCCTGCAGATGAGTCGACAGCAGTGACTAGTTAGAAACAACTTCCATGTGACAACAGATGAAACAGGCAACGAAAAAGATAGAAAGAGAGGAAATCTGATTACATTATAACATTTCGCTCTTATCAAGTCAAGTCGCTTCGATTAGCGAGTCGAGTCGGCGTGCTCTTTTAGTGTGCGTGAGTGTTAAATCCTCGTTGCGTTGCTGCTCGAACACCAGCGCAATTACCACACACACACACACAAACACACACTGAAATCTTCGACAAGTCCAGTTTGAAGCGGTTCCTCCAGAGCTAATTGAGCTCAGCCTTGCGCAGCTCTCTTTTGGATCACTCACGTTTGCCCAGCTACTGATGTTGTCCTCATCGTCCTCGCTGATGATTGTGTCACACTGATCAAACACACATTTGTTTGTCACTGCTGCTGCTGCTGTGACCGACATGGCGATCAATGACCAGTGGCTGGCCTGAAAAAAAACTGCAGAGTTGTGAACAATGTCCGCTAGGTGCATTTCGGTTAGAGCAACAATATTATGGACACGTGTTCGAGTCACGTCAGACAGACACTTCTCCAATTTCAGATATTTGCAAATCTGCAACAACCTCTCTAGCCGGGGGCAAACCAGACGCCCAACGTGACGATGAACTGTCAATCAGGCTGTCTGACTGTCAGGTAGACAAGTAGTTCTGTCCTGTTGAAGTCACATGTGTGATGAGCACTGAAAACGGCACTTTGTCTTGTGTCTCTGTTTCTGGGCGCCCTTTCATCGATGATGATGCCATTGAGATTGGCTCTCTGCGTGCTGTATCTAATCGATTGAGCCAACGGTAATAACAGCAGATTAGACGATGCCAATTAGCAGTGACAATGACTGCAGTTGTGGTCTATTTGATTTGAGGGGTTAACAGTGAGAGGGTGGTGGAAGAGAGGGAGCGATACACAAAACTTTCCAATCCAGTCTGTCCGTAGTACATGGGCACTGACCACTCCATGGTCAGGGACAGTTAGTGCACAGGAGACATTGAAAGTGCACTAGTTCAGTCCGGTACCGGTACTTGCATTGCATTGTGCAATGAGGACAATGTCTGCAATTGCAATCTGTTTGCCAGTGTTTTGCCACCACTTTGCTGCTAACCAGACGCTGAACAGTGACACAAGATACCGCCGACACTCACTCACACTGTCAGACGATGTCGGTATTTACTGCTGCTACTCTATTTATAGGTGATATGCAGAGAGCGCAGATGAAGTGAAGTGAAAGTGTGTAGCTTCGAATATATCAAGAGGTGGCAGATATCGGGCCCGATTGTCTCTGTGCTTGTGAGTGTGTTGTTGTTGTCGTCGTCGCCGCCGCCGCCAAACTGTTGTGAAGGCCGCTGTGCTTAAAATAACCTCTTTGGCAGCTTAGCCTGTCACTTGAAACAATTCGGCGAGATGATCAGCAGCACTGCTGCTGCTGCCTCGTAGGTGGCCACGTAATCTAGAACTCCACTCTTGGCGAGTGTCATTTCTCCTTCTTGGCTTGCTTTGTTTGCTTCACATTCTCACCGGTGGACTAGATCCGCTCTCTGTGATGATAGATTCTAATTAGAGTGTCCAGCAGTTGACAGCAGCAGCAACGGTGTTTGACCTGTCAGGAACTGTCACATAATGTAATCCATTCGGCAAGAGAGTGGTGCCACTTAGGTTAGACTTTTGGTGACAGTCATCTGAGCTGGTGGTGGTGGCTGTGGTGAGATAATCACTGCCTGGAGAGGATTAGCAGCTGCAGCACACACATGTAGACGACAGGACACACTGGGGCCGACTGGGGCCGACAGAGCTCGGTGGCGAGACTGTGTGTGTGGCAGACACTAAGCTCTCTCTCCCACTTTTCCCTACCAAGCAAAGGGCCACACACTTCCCGGGGCCATCTGCCCAAACTGAAGACAGTAAAGGCTTAATTGAAGGCCTCCACTGCCTCTTCCTTGATGAAATCTTTTTCAGGCCGAAGCAGGCCTCAGTTTGCCAATGACTGTCACCCGAACCACACACACACTCACAGAATCTCTCAATGTTTGTCTTTCGATTTAGTTGATCGGACACTGCCTGAGTGTCAGTGAACTGAGGAACAGTGTGTTTGTGAAGGTGCCTGTTTTAGGATCTGCGGATCACATCTAGAGTTATCTATTTTATCAGAGTGGAAATTCACCTCCACCATCACCACCACCACAATCATGTACAGCAGGCAAAGGCGTGCAGTGTCCTCGTTGATTGTCGTCGATTGCAGCACCATCAATGGCCGTCATCATCACCACCGCCACCACCACCACCAGATCTTCCCTTCTCGTCGTCGCATTTTTGGCCCTGGTTGTTTATCTACCCTACTGCTTATCAATCTGACTCTGTTTACAGCGCAAATGAGCACTGTTTATTCGTGGTAAGCATTGAAAGCTTTCTTCTTCGTTCTTTCTTCTTTATTTTTCTTTTTCTGTTTCTGGTTGCGTCCTTTGGTATCAGCTCTGTGTCTGCGTACTTTCTAATCTGGCGAATAAGGCCAACTGCAGTTTAGGAAATCTCCCTTTCTCCTCTTTTCTTTTCTACACTGTCGCAAGTTTTGTAGTGATGCAGTTTGTTTGTCTTTGAGCAGCTGGGTCAACCAGCATGTGAGAAACAGAGATGCCATCAATCGATTAGATTGCACCGACTCTTTAGCCATGATAAGAAGTTGTGAAACGGATGTGTGCGTAAACCAGAACGGCAGTGTTTAGCTGGTTCTCTGTTGCCAACCACGGCCACCAATTCGTATTGTGCTGGGGATTTTCTCTCCAAACAGTATCTGGTCAGCACCTTCTTTCCTTGCCCTCTGACTGACCATGTGTCATTGTTTGATTTAAAGAGTTGCTCACAGCCACAGCAATCAAGCAAAATAGTAGACAAACAATCGCTGTACTTGCGTATTAAAAAAGTCAGTGTCCTTTAGGCTAGGCCATTTACATGAGAGTAACCTGAGCACGACTGACGCCTAAGACAATGGCCGGGGATAACAAGGACTTAGTCTTGTCTGTGCTATCGCAGACAATTGGCGCCACTGCTCTGCACAATGAACCTGCGGAGAAAACTGTTGCCGCCACCAGTCATTAGCAAGACTTACTTAGTACCCAGTTAGGCTCACTCAACGTAGACAGATGTGTCTCACTAATCGATTCCCTGTGTTTTTGTTTTTTCCTGTCCCCTCCTTTTCCCTAGGTCTGTCAGCAACTACATTCTTCTCGGCAATCAGGCCTCCATTCAGAATGCAGACCATGTGACCATTGGCGCACAGAAGGGACTCAGTAAGTGAATGAGTGAAAAAAGAAGATCTCTGTTTTTCATTAGCACACACAGCTANTACATTCTTCTCGGCAATCAGGCCTCCATTCAGAATGCAGACCATGTGACCATTGGCGCACAGAAGGGACTCAGTAAGTGAATGAGTGAAAGAAGAAGATCCCTGTTTTTCATTAGCACACACAGCTAACCACTTTGTGTCTTTTTCCACCAGATGAGTGTGCCCGTCAGTTCACCTACGAGCGGTGGCCCTGTCCCGAGTCCATTTTCAGCAAGAACATCTTCCGCAATACCCTGCCATGTGAGTCGACTACTGTGTGAGTCTCTCGACTCTTCTAATTTGTCTAATTTGTACTTCCTACTTCATTCACAGTGAACCGTGAAATAGCCTTCGTTCAGGCAATCATCAGCGCCGGCATTGTGCACACTGTCACGCGGAGCTGCAGCTCAGGCGGAGGAAGCAGCTCTTCAGGTTCCGGTTCAGGCTCAGCTCTAGCAGCCACTTCAGATGGCTTGAGCACAGATGGCTGCAAGTGTTCCAGTGTAAGTGGCAACAGCGAGGCGGCGATGCGGGGCGGGTTTCGCTGGGGCGGTTGCAGCGATGACGTGGAGACTGCCTCAAGAACGGCCCGGCTCTACCTCGA